TTTTTTTTTTTTTTTTTTTTGAGATTTATTTTATTCAGTTTATAACTTGACTATAACAAAAAGTATTAAGTTATTTAACAGCAAACAGTGTGATTGAATTTAAAAAAAGCGTACTTAGTGACGTAAATTACATTCACATTTATGCATAAGTATAAATTCTCGTAAATTATTTATTTGCCTTGATAATATAATATTGCTACTTTTTGATATAGCAGATTAGAATAAGAAGTTTTTATGTTTACAAAAAGATTTTAGCTTTTATTGACATTTAAAATGTTATGAATTGCAAAAAATAAAAAATGAAAAAGCAAAAAGTTGTGGCATTATTTTATTACTTTATGATTCATACAGTACTGTTTTAGTAACAATATTACTGAATGTCTTATTCTATTCTTTGAAAATTTGAGAACAATTCAAATACTTACTTATACTGTGTGGTAAAAATGAAGGAAAGAGATTAAAAACTTCATGTCATGCAGTAATTAATTTTACTGCGATTCATATTGTGAAGGTTTTAGATTATATGAAGCAATTCTGACTTTATTTCTAAAAATGTTTAAAAGTGATGAATGAGATCAAAAATTTTGTATGATATAATATCTTTTGCTAACAGTAATTCATAAGAGAGAATATTATGCACTTTTCAGGTTTGAATGAATTTTGTTCTTTGCTTTTTTTTATCAAACAATGCATTAATTGGTTATCACGAAGGAAGAATATGCACAAAAGATGCTATCAATGAAAATGTTCAAAAAAGCGTTTTACTAAAATACAAAAGTAATGATTTAGTTATTGACTCATTTCATCTTATAATAATCATCTATTGCAACTATCAATTTTTATTGAAAACATTTTTATCAAACAACAAATAATTACTTTTTTTATCTTTTCTTACAAATCATTATGATATTTTTCAAGACTTATAACGTATAACACGTACATTTTATTTGTATACATAAAAAGTTTTTGTTTTTTTGAATGCATTAAACAAAAGCTTAGTTTTTGTTGTCTTTCTTTAGTTTTGTAATGAAATGCTATCAAAGCATAGATATTTTAAAGTACTAAAAAAAGCAAAAATTTTTACTGATTTTATTCTTAACTGCAAATTTATATACAAATGTCATTTGTTTTATTTCTGCAAAAAAATTTTTTTTTAACATCTTTTTAACAGTACATATTATTGAATAATTATTCGGCTTGGAAAATAAGTAAAAGTTTTTTAATAAATGTTTAGTTATTAATGTTATTATTTTTCTATAAATTACGATAAATGCAAAAAGTTAAGTAAAATAAAAAATAGTAGCATAAACTTAGTATCTTTGTCTTATTTTCAAATTAAGTTTCATAATTTTAAAAAATTTTATAAAATTTTAATTGACATAAAATGGTTTATTTGCTTATATAAATTTCATTATTTCATCAGTTATGCACAAATAAATTTTGGCTGCTTAAAAATTTGAATTAATTTTTTTTGCAAATATGTTCTACCCTAGATAAAAAATAATAAAGAAAAATATCAGTAGTTTCAGTGATAAAAGTAACAGCGCAAAGTGGTATGCTGTTATCAGCGCTTATCAATTTTTTATCAGTTGTCTTTCTTGATTAGCATAAAAGTATTCAATTTTCTGTTATTTTCAAAGTTTTGTATGTTATACAGTGAATACATAACATTTTCTTCTCAAATTATTTTCAAATCTTGAATGATTGAATTTTCAGACTTCAAAAAAATAGTCTATTGAGTAAGAGTTGTTTCTATTTTATCTCAGATACTTCAGTAAATATTAAAAAAATACATAAAAATATTTTTGTCATGATATCAGCTGTATTGTTCAAAAAGTATAGTTCTAATAGCATGCTATAATATTTTCATTAAAACTTGCTAAAACGAAATATAATCATAATATCATTTACATAGTCAAATGATTGTTTAGTACGATTACACAGTAAGTCACAAGATTGAAATAAACAATTTAAAACGAACATGTGATGAAGTTTTATCCTGCAAATAAATATCATAAATGATTACAAATTTTTTGAACCTCTCAGCAATATTATTCATTTAAATATCATGAAATACAAAGAGAAATTTATACCAAAAAGCTTATTTTGAGGACAAAAGTAAGCAATGGCTAGTTAGTTATTGTTATAACAATAAAATGTTTTCATACTTTCATTCTGTTTTATTGTCAAATTTCATTCTTTTTTCTCAAATATTTTTATTTAAATCTATTATTATTTTATCATTTTCTGAGGCCATTTCATTAGCTGACAAATCTATTAGTGTTTTGAATTTATGCAAATTAAAAATCATTATTGTAAAATAATGCAGCAAATTTACATTTTGTGCAAAGATTTAGCGCAAAAACGCAAAAACGTCGAGTGACTGTAATACAAATTATTAATTCATTAACTTTATTTGTTTATGAGTTTACGGTTTTATTGGCCACTATGATTACTTTTTCAGCAATTGTAATTAAAATTTAGTACTAAATGAAAACTTTTGTAATTGAGAATAGTTGATTATTTGCATAGAAATTATTAATATTTATTGATGAAAATGATTTAATCATCACAGCAATATTTGCTTTGCTTACTTTTATAATTTTTTTTGTCTCCTTGCAGATTTTTTGTTATGTATTGTAATGTATAATAATATCTAAAACGTGGAGCACGAATAGATTCTCGTAGTTGTGTGTTTTATCAGCTTTTCTAGTAAAGCACAGATGGTGCTTCTTTTGAAAAAGAACACTACTCTACAATTTGTCTTATTCGTTCAAATATCATTGCAGCATTTTCTTTCATATTATCCCTTTTTCTCTTTTACTTTTTAAAATTAAGATTTTAACTTAATCTTTTTTCCTTTTCACTCATTCTTTACCGTACGTGAAGTCATATCTTAATTTATGCTAAGTCAATTGGGATTTACATCACAAGAACATCCCTGTGTCATTTCTGATTGCTTTTAATTATGCTCTGTTTTTTTCCTACATTATCTCTTCACTGACTTACTTAACTACAACTTTTTATAGACTTGAAAAAATAATTCATTTGATTTTTAAAGTAAGATATTTTCAGTGCATTAGGAATAAAATTTTGCTAATTATCGAGTTATCAAATGCCTAATTTGGAAATTAACGTGCAAAACTCATTAGCGAGTTTTCATTCCCCATTTCTTTTCATAAATTCCAGGCAAATTTTTATATTCATAAACTGATCGATTATAAAAAATTTTGCAGATAATGCCGACAAGTATCAATGCATATTTTAAGTAAAACTTAAAATAATACCTTGTAAATTTTTTGCAAGTTAACGAATTATTAGAAACTATTAATTTTTACCATCTAATTCTGACTGTGGCTGTACTTTTTGTTACAGTTCAACTACCGTATCATTTTCACATTTGCATAATCTGATGCATCTTTAACTAACCATTAGCAAGTTCAGTACATTTTTTAAATTGAGAAGAATTTTAAGCACAGAAATTTCCACAAAAACAAGTTCTCCAACTTATTTAGAGACGTAACTTCTTGCTTGATTCCAT